TATTTCATAAATTACGGTTTCATATTTTTAATTTTAGAATTTCTGCATGCCATCTTACGAGATTTAAACTGATGATCTATAATCCGGAAAAATCGATAATCCGGAATCGCCGAAGTCCCGACGAGTCCGGATTAACGACTTTTGACTGTATTTAAAAAAAAATACTGGATGAAATTATCACATTTCCCTGCATGTGCTCTCATGTGGTAAATGATTACCACATTCAGCTCGCAGCTGAAAGATCCAAGGTTCGAATTCCGGTGAGAGTACTCAAGTTTTTTGCTTCAAACAGTCTGATGGTTGGAATTCTAACTCTCAATAGCCAGCACTCTTTTTTGGGGGGTGGGGGTGGGGGTATGGAAGGGATCAACACAGTCCCTTTTGAAATGCAATCTTATACCGTATATGGTTAGCACATCAGCTAGAAATTAGAAAATCTGCATTTTGAATAATCCTGGTGAAGGCACAGTTGATTTTTCACATTTTCTTCTCTGAAAAAACCAAGCTTTTATTTAAAAAATAATAATCTATATTTTCTAAACAACTATTAAAACCCAATATACATCAAATCTAACCTTAAAAAAATGAATTCCTTCATTAGACATCAGCTAGAATAGCACTTTTGTTTTCCTATGGTTAGTCTATCTACATCATCAAGTAACACAAATCGTGAAGGAAATTTAAAAACTCAAATCTTAATGCTTTTCCTATGATTTGAATTTCAACCTAGTAATCTTTAAACGTTTAATTCTAGACTTATGAAAGATTAATTTTATTAATGCCTCCTCGCTAATTAATAAATAAAAGTACAGCTGGTCCTCAACTTCTGCATATTTTTAAAAATCTAATCTTTTAAAGATTTTTGTTCATAGTAAAAAAATTGTTCCCTTTTATGCAGTATGTTAGTTCACACACTGCCCCCTACAGTAGTGGATTTCTCAGAATCATTGTGAGGTCATTAAGGTTCCAAGCCACCATGGCAAGGACCAAATGTCAAATACATACAATGCATTAAACAGATTTAATCTTGCATTAGGTTATGTGACATTGCGCTGTCTATTTTGCAAATTTATTTGTTATGTTTAAATATTTTGCTCTTATAAATTTATAAACATTAGTGAGAAACTGCAGTGGTGATAACAACAAAAAGAAATTGAGGACTCTCATAAACTTCACATGATCAAGAAAAAGATGAAAGCAATTAGATTTTATGAAAGCACTGAATCTTTTACTTCAATCAACCATTCATATGAGAAGAAGTCTACGATATGTTCGGTTTTGAAAAACAAGAATATAATTAATATGTTCAAAATTGAAATGTATCTCCCAAGACAGTTTGCAAAAGACATGCCATCGTGATGCACGAAATGGAAAGACCTTTTTCATCATGGATGTCCAATGTCCTTATGACTTTTCCAATTATTCAAGCTAAAGCTCTATTTTGCACAAAGAATAGAAGGCTAGATTAAAAGAAGATTCTAACATGACATTTCAAGTAATAGCTGGTTTGACAAATTTAAAATGATGTATTTTTTACATAATATTAAATTCACTGGAGAAACGACCGAAGCAAATAAGACGCTGTAAAAAGAATATATTTCCTCATCAACTGAAAATATTCTAGATGGAGAATATTCTTTTAATCAAATATTTAAAATGGATGAGAAAAATTTATTTTGAGAAAAAATGCAATTTCTTACATTTTTATTGAAGGAAGAATCAGTTGCACTTAGCCATAAACCTTCAAAAAAACGGATCGACCCTGCGTTCTTGGTGTAAATTTAGGTAATAATTCAAAACTGAAGGAAATGTTAATTTATAAAGCTAGAAAAATCCCAGAGCACTTGAAGGGAAAGAAAAAGAACTGCTTCCAGTCATTTGGAATTCAAATTACAAAAACTTACGTTTCTGCATTAATATTAGCGTGGATCTAAAAAAAGCTTACAAGGGTAATAAAAAATTATTTATTAACAATAGACAGAAAATATAAAACAGAATTAATATGCATACGTGGCTATAATTTTTCCATACAATCACCAAATTTATTTAGGCATTTATCTGAAAGCACGACCAACTTATTTAACTCCAAAGAAAACACATCCCTGCCCAATGAGCGCCAGTTCTCGGTAGCTGTTTTCACACCACTGTCTGAAGAGAACCTCATTCAAGACAAAAGTTCCTTTTAATTTCGGAAAAGGGAAACAGTAACTGGATGCTAACTGGGCTATGTTGGGGGTGACTTCAGACTTCTCATTTAAACATTTGCAGCAATTCTTGACTTCGTTAGCAGTATGGTGCCGGGAATTGTCATACAGGAGGATGACACCATCACTCAAACATGCCAGGGCACTTGCATCCAATGGCTTCATGTAATCTTGTTGAAGTGGCACAATAACAATCGGCTGTAACATTATGGCCGTGCTCCAGATGTTCAATCAGGATAATAAATCATGGCTCACATCTCCATGCGAGACTTTTTTTCTATACGTCTTGCCATTTCAATCACTCTGACATGTCTGTGAACTTACTCTATCTACCTGCACAACTGCTGCTGGACAACAAGCGTCATCTGTACTCCCTCCACAATAATTACTTTTCAAATGCTGATGCTAGTAACCTTTTTTGGATCCACCAACATACTTCAAGATTGGTTCACTTTTCATTTTTTACCAGCAATTAAGCATTATTATAAAGAACAGATTTACAATTTAAAGCATTATTAATCTTAGAGAATGTTAAAGGATACTCAAAATCTCCACAGAATTTACACTGGAAATAAATGTTTTGTTTCCTTCTACCAATACTACCTGCCTTATACAGCCCCAGAATCAAATATTGATAGCTACATTTAAATGGCATTACACAAAGACAGTACTGAATGGAGCCATCATGTTAACTGGCAGGAAAGGTGGCCTACATTAAAAGATTTCTGAAGGAACTATAATATGGAAAACGATTAACAATATTGAAGATTCAAAGGCTGAATATAAGACAGTCAACAATGAAAGGTTCCTGAAAATAATTATGCCTGATTTTATAAATACTGAAGAAATTCTGGAAACTATCACAGATGAAATAGTTAGATTAATGAATGAAATTAACTTCAACATTGAATATGTTAATGAGTTGATAGAATCTCACTCAGTACCTCTGTCAAATGAATACTTAATTGGGTAATGGAAGTTAAATAAAATATACAATGAAAATAAGGAAAAAGAATCTGATAAAATAGTCAAGACTTGACAAATATGAATGATACCTTCATGCAGCTTGAGAAATTTTTTACTGTCTTGGAAGAATGCAATCCAGATGGAAAATTTATATCTTAAGTAAAATAATAGGGCAATTGAGAAATACACAGCATGTTGTTCTATAACAGCATGTTATAGAATACTTTATCAAGAAAAGAAAAAAAGGTGGTATTCAGTTAACTCTTGACAGATTTTTAAAGAAAATGACTGAAAGTTCTTAAACAGGCCTTTAACTTAATTATGTAAATTGATAAATAAATAAATATCTTGATTATTCTGGACACAGAAATTGTCAACCATTTATAAATGATAATGACACAGCTATATACAGTATTGAGTAACCTTTTAACAGCTTCAAAGCAGAGAGTGATTTATTTATTTTTGTGCATTTTAACAAATTTCTTGAATCAGAAAAAGATGACTTAAAAAAAAGGGGGGTATCCTCTGGTTTAAATCACTGCAAATGAGAGAAAATGTTTACAATAATTTTAACTCTGTTTCAGATTAAACAGTCAAAACAAACACACAAGAAATTTATCACATCAAATAAAGACCTTGAAAGCATTAAAGATATTGAAAAAAACCGTGAAATTTTTTTTTGATAAAGCTGTACTTTCTCTGTATAAAACATATTATTTTTAATATGCTTCTATTACAGTAGTTGATGTGAAAGGTTTACTTTCAAATTCAAATGAATTTTATCTATCACCAACATAATTTTGAAAATTTAAATGACATTTAACATTCAGCAGTAATGTATAACAGGAATAATGTATTATTTTGTAAATAGGATTTGATTTAGTTATAATTTATTTAAAACAAAATTTTCAACTACAGGCATATAACTAAATTTCTTAACATAATGCTTATGATTTTAGACATTATTATATATTATTAAAATCTTTTTCTTGGTGTTATACTTTATGAGTATCCATTAGTCTTATTCTTTATCCTCCTATGATGAATTTATTTAATTTTTACAAGTGCCTTTTTAATACATTTAGATTTTTTTTTTTTTTTTTTTTTTTGTTGCATGATCACCCATTTTTCTTATTAGCATGGAAATGGCACCCCCCCAAAAAAGGGGGGACAGAGAGAGAGAGAAGCTTCCTTGAAGATTTATTACAAAGGGATGTGACAGTATATGTTACAAATCTTAGTACCTCTTAGTAATATAACAAATAAAATAAGCACCAATTTATATTAAAAAAATGCACTACATAAGGAATAAAGTATTTTTTACTAAGTAATACATCAAATAATAATTATTAGAAGTTTAAACAACAGTGTATTAGTTTCAAAGGTTTTGTAGTAGAACCTTTGAAACTAGTATCCCAAATTAAAAAAATTAATGCAGATTACTGTAGTTTGAACTTCTAATAATACTTCTTTACTTGTTAAGGATAAAAAGCTGTAGCAGAAGAATTATGTATATAAAAAAAGAGAATAGTATAGATTTAAATAATCTATCAAAAAATAATAATGGAAAAAATAAGATCTCGGGTTCTTAGAAACTAAAACCAATTTACTGCATTATATTTATATACATAACTTTATTTTGAAATATTCATTTACATTAACAAAAAATATATCAACAAGCCAGAAATATAATACTATCCATGATGCATATAGGACAACATCAGAGAGAGTCTATTTAACAGAATGCTCATATAATCATTAGACAATGTAACATATTTGATAAAAAGAAAATAAACAGCAAAACTCAAAAGCAGAGAAAAAAATACATACTGTCATGTCTTTTGTTGGGAGACGCATATTTTCCCTAGGGAAAAAATATACACATATACATATTATTCATTTTTTATTACAACTCACACACTATATATAATTACTATAACAACAGTCAATGAAGGTTCAGAATTAAAAAACTATAATAACTTTACTCTCTAAATATCTTCTTTTATGAAAGAATATGCTCTAATGAGTCAAACTGATGCAGTTGGTTATTAGAATGTTAATTTCAATTAATCCGATGCTACTCCAACATTTTGCCCAAATAGCAGACTGTAATTATTACCAAACAAGTAACAGAAAAGAACAAGAACATAGTAAATTTGCTTACTGAAATTATATTAAAATGCTTCTTATTCTTCTTTACTTATTTTATAGATATTTGAATCATTGATGAATATTTATTTTATAAAACAGTCACAATCACCATATTTAAAGAAATTTTAAATATATTAAATATTCCAAGTGAGAAATTACAATGAAGAAAAAACTTCTGACAAGAAATAATAAAAAACATAGTTTGAAATATTATTATCCTTAGCACAAAAGCCAAGTTTTACACATTTTTTTCCTGATAACCAATAATATATTCTAACCTGGACAAAAGCATTAGCATGGATTTAATCACAAAGCAAAATTCCAGCTTTAGGTAGTCACATATAAGTAAACCTAAGGAAATAAGATCTTTAATTTTAAAAATTTCATGTATCACAAATTGTTAAGCTAGATGCACTCTTATCTTGCTTCATTTTAACAGGCACATTTTCATTAAGATCTACTTTTTCATGAACCACATTTCTATTGCCAAGTTAAGGAAAAGTACTATGTACTGTAATCAGAAATAAGGTATTCTTTTCTCCATAAAACAAGGCTGAATTAAGACACTATAACTAGTAGTTTTGAAGGCTCTCAAGCTTATACTTCAGTTACTTAAGTGTAGTCACTTTGAATATATATATTTGGTAATAGTTCTGCTTTTTTTTTTTTTTTTTTTTTTTTAATTTAGTTTGAAATGATAAATTTACAGAAGCAGAAAAACTGAAATGAAGCTAAAACTTACTATGAATAAAGATTCTATAAACTGAACATGAAATGAAATTAATATTGGAAGAGTATGGTATAAAATAACACTTGTCATAAAATACTATTATTAAGTCCAAATAAAAGACTTCTTAAAAACATACTTTTATAATATGTAAGGTAAATTAATTATTTTATAGATTGTCATTTGGCAATAATTAAAGACTTTGTTCTTTCAAGCACTTAAAAATAAAATAAAAAAATGTTTTAAACAACAAGAAAAATTTGAACCTTCAAATTTTCTCAAAAACTATGCACCAATCGACTCATCTAAAAATATACAATAGTAAAAAAAAAAAAAAAAAAAAGGAGAGAGAGAAAAGAAAGGGAGGCTGCTAATGTTCTACAGATAAACTAACCCAAAAGTAGCAAATGTAGAAGTTTTGGGTTGCCAATAAGGAAGTTTTTTGATGAAATTTTAAAATTTCCTGAAATCTCCAAAACAGTACAGCACTGCCAAATATGGTTAGAATTTGAACATCTTCAATTTCCTAGTCACACTGCTCTAGCAGTTATTTTTTTCTTCAACATTAAGTATTTACCAATGAGCAGAAACATTCGCAGTTTTTTGTGTATTGCTTTATTTTCAATAATTTAAAAATTTTATAAAAAATGCTTCCTCAGTTAAAAAAAAAATACTATCTGCACTTATTGAACTGGATTAGGGGGGATCAATGTATTTATTATCATGTATAGTGTGTACTGTTGTTATATAGAAAATTTTTGTTTTTAATTCTATTTTAAACTTTAACTTAAACTGATGGTTGTGCCGGATAAAATTACCAAAAAAATATCAAATAATTCAAACATTCAAAAACTATTTCATAATATTCACATATAATTTCAACATTCTTATAAATATTCGTATATCGAATCTATCAATCAATCGTATATCATATCTATCAATCAATCGTATAGTGGTATAGTACAATTTAACTTTTTAGGTTTGCGTTGTGAGTAACCTATGTAAAGTGAAAATCAATAACTCCAAATTCAAGTAAACTCCATGTTTCTTAAAAGCCCCCGGCTCAAACAAATGGAGGGACATGACAGACCACAGAAACTACACTAAATTAAACAAATGAAACATAAAATACATATCAAAACACATTTATTAATTTCTAGAATATTCAAACATATGATAACTAGGTAAACTGATCAGTCCCCTACAAATTAACCTTAAGATGTAAATTAACATATATATCATTTTAAATCTTATACTCATGTTAGGTGTACTAAATTTTTTTTTAACATTACATAACTCACAATTTAGGCGGTTGTACCGTATATTAATATAGTATCATTACTCGGTTACAATTTAAATACAAAAGACAGAAAAAAAAAATCACTCACAGGGTGAAGTTCCTACATTCAACTCCTATGCAATCATCGACTGATTAATATGGAGTGCTGATAGTTCAACAGATCGTCCTACTCATTGCGTTGACCATTTGAAGAGATCGAGAATGCCATCATTGACGGATTAATACGGAGTTTTAGTTTTAGTTTTTAGTTCAACAGATCGTCCAGCGTCCAAAGTTTACTCGAGCACCACATTATTCCTGCTGTCCTTTATTCACAAAATCATCGTTAATGGAGGCAGACAGTTCTTGCGAATTTTAAAGATGACTTGGTTGCAACACCATTGAAGCTGTCCTTACAATAAATAAATTCCAGAGCATGGAATGATGAAAAAAAAAATCGACGCAGCTGGCACAGGCAGAATAAACAGCAATGCACACCTTAGAAGGGTCCTACACGAGTCTCTTTCATTCTGTCACCATAAGCGTAGAGCACCTTTGGAACAAAATCTAATTAGGAAGTCAAAGCCGGTAAAAACAGGAATACCGCATCAGGATGTCAGGATCACCAAGAGAATCTGCCGAACAATTCTTGGGATAAGAGAAATCGAAATTCTTCTGCTGAGCTCTATGCCTTATGCCAACGCAAATTCTCGCCAGCTAAAAGCCGAGAGAAAAATCATACCCTCTGCCGGCTGTTCACGCGGCTCGCAAGAAGCAAGACCCGAAGGGTCAAGCCCCCGCTTTTTCTCCTCTTACTCTTCTTGAAAATCAGAATCAGAAAAAAAAAAAATCTAGCCTGGTGCAAGCACCCAGGAAAACTCGGTTTCTCCGCCTCTGTGAGCTCATAGGCTTTCAAAAAAATCATAAAATTATATCTTACCAATCCCGGAATTTTAAGTTATCTAAATTGAGAAAATGACACACCCATGACGAATCAAACACCAGAAAATCTGACAATGCAATCCGAAAAACATCTGCACTCATAACGTGAGAAAAAAAATAGACCCCCCCCAACTAACAAGTGAAACTAAGCTTTTACGAAAATCCAATTACCTTAGCCACCTCCCACTGTCTTGAAGTAATAAAACTGCAAACTTAACAAAGCGACAGGAAAGCAACTTTCCGTTTCACACGCATTAGCTAAAAAAGGGCGACATTGTTAGTTGAAAAGGCCATAAACCAGATGTGTGTCCTCGCAACCGTCTCTCGCCTTTGTTACAATTCCCACTCAAGAATAATGAGTTAAATAAACCTTAACCTTAAGAATACTTTTTTTCCCCCCAGATTAAATATACACATGAATACAAATAAAAATATTAGAATAATAATAATATAAAACACATATTAGTAATTTAAATTCGCTACATAACACTGTTTGTATTTTCTAAAATGATTACAGTGCGAGTCATTTTTTCACAGTAAAATAACTTCCAAAGTTCTTGTGCTCTGAACTAATTTTTCAAACATTAAATTTCTATCGATTCTATTTAATCTTTCATTTTCAGTTGCTATGCACTGACAGCCAAAATACCAATTTTTTGCCCTTTACATCACTTTCATTATATTACACTTTTATAGCATGAATTGATCAGCTTAGCAATTTTCAAAACTGTATTTTGCCAAATTTCATTTTTTTTATTAATTTTTATAGAATATCAGCAGCAATTCTTTCTTTCTTTCTTTTTACTATTACACATTTTTAGATGAATAGATTCATATATATCCTTTTCTTTTCAGAAAATTTGAGAATTTTAAGTTTGGAAGACGAATTTTGTAAATAAGCATACATCTAATAATTACAGTTTTTTAATTCACAACTTACACAAGCCTTAATTTACACTTTTTTTTGGATTAACTCATCATTTTTCATCCCACCCAAGATATGGAATTTCAGAGAGGCTAACTAATCAAGAGACTACCAATTTTCTTCACAATTAAATGATTTAACATTCTAGCTAGCGAGATATTAAACAATATTTGTCTTACTGCCTTTAAAGCATCAGGTATCTTTAAACATAAAAATATGCCAAAAATTTAATACCTATCAAAGCTCATTATTTTTATAATCATCTAGTTTATGATTTAAAAATTGTTTACTTTAATTGTTCTTTTTTCAATATCCTAGTATTTACTACTTTTACTTTCTATTCAAGATATTAAAACACTGTAAACAAAGTAAAAATAAAATAGCTCCAACATAAATTACAATATGTACCACATCATGCAACATTAGAAATAAAGAAATCATAATTTTTATAACAAATTTAAAAAAATATAACATAATTGAAAATTTTGCTCCTTATTTGAGATCCCAAATCAGCTATTTTTCCTAATATAACACTAAATGTTTAAAAACACTTCTGTGTGAGAAGCATAAAAAGTTGATCACTTTATACAACTGATGAAAATTTCTTAAAACCCCAAATCAGAAATTATGTACACAAGCAGGAAAATTATAATTTTGAAAAATCATAACTTAAAGATATAATTACCTTCAAATCCTGTAAATGCTCATTATTTTCCTAATATAATTAGAGAAATATAAAAACATATTTATAAGTTAAAATATGTAAGTATACATAATAATGTACTATTTTAACAGTATTGCATACATACAATTTTAATTGAAACATTAAAAAGGAAGGGAGTTAAAATTTTCATATGATTTTAAATTTAATAAAAATTCTGAGGCTCTTATGTCAGAAACACAATACTTAGTCATTTTATACAAATACAGTAAAAATTCTGAAAGTCCAATATCTGGAATGATTTAATATTCAAACCTTTGGACAATAAACATTTTTTTTTCCCCTTTGCTACAAAGTTTAGGATTGGAGAAAACACTCAAAAAGCAGGTGCACTATAAAAGCAATTTTTCTCCTGCCTAGATGAAATCTTTGCATGTCACTTTCAAACACCTCCTAGCTAAGAAATCACACTGTAGCCAATGATAATTCATTTATTTACAGTGTATTCAAAGTTGGCCATCACCATACATTCAGCCCTTAAGTAGTTTGTGAGTGTGCATGTATGAGATGGCGTACAATTCTGTCTGACCTAAAAAATAAGCAAAGCCTCAAGAGATATTTGTTTGGAGTTGGATGCTGTTCATAAAAAATTTTCCTTTATTGGAATGGCAGTGGGGAAAGAAGAAATAATTAGACTCCCACAAACTTCAGCTAACATAGCATAACTATGTTTCTTCTAATTTAATCTAACTTATTATTGTTTGCAGGTTATTATCATTACAGCTATCCTATCAAAATTAAAGGATGAATTTTCAATTATGTTGAAAAGAGTTTCTAATTTTAGAAACTTAATAGCAGCTGCAGCAAATCTGCAAAGTGGAAGCATGTTTTGATGTCAGTCAAATAGAAAAGTGAAGATGCTCCAAAAAATAGATGAAATCACATATGTCTCAAAATTATACAAAGAGTATGGCATTGGAAATTCAAAAGTACACGACATAAAAGAAAAAAAAAATGTTGATTCTGACATTTTACTCGCACTGAATAACAGAAAAATCATTCATCATGCTATAAGTGACAATCATGACAGAGAGGATAATGGCAGCATCAAAGTGAAGGACTTGGCATCAACAGGTTCGATGCTAATGGCTCAAGCCAAAATATTTTATGGGGAAAAAACTTAATGCACAAATTTTACAGGTTAGTTAACCAAATTTTAAATCACTATGATATAAGATAGTTAAAAACCTTCAGCTAATATTGAAGTTGCTGAACAATTTGCAGATGAATTCATTGAATACATTAATAGCAAAAATAGATTACTAAACAAATTTATAATGCTAATGAAAATGATCTCTTCTGGCAATATAAGCTCTGAAACACTTGGTGACTTCGGCAGAAAAGGCATCAACTGGAAGGATTCCAGACTAACAATATTTGCATGTGGAAATGCTGCAAGGAATGCACACATGTAAACTTTTTATAATCGGAAAATACACGACTTCCATTTAAAGAAATAAAGATTTTCCCCTATCATCTACTGTTCAAATAAAAGAACATAGATGACACAAACATTCACAAACGAATAGTTTTCACATCAAAAGCTTGGCAACAGTTAAAATCAGATAGTTTACTTAGACGATGGAAAAACTGTCCTGATTATAGACAACTGCTTGGTCTCATTTTATTGTTTCCTCTAAATTGAATATTTATCATTTAGCCAATGGGTGGATATCAAAGTACTGCATGAGCTGAAATGTAGATATAAAATAGCTCTTTTGAAATTTTTGCTAAAATTCTCAAAAGTGGCAAGATTATTCAATTTTTGAAATATTTTAATACAAAAATATGTTGTGTGAAGCATTTCAAGGTCATGAGAGGATCTGTCTGCAAATATTTTCAAAAATTTTTATCATAATGTATGGCCAGTTATCAAATTTTGCCATTGGTAATGATGATGATAGCCACAAATTTGAAGGTTTTCAGATATCAGAAACAAAAGGTAAAAATTTTCAATAAATAGAATTTGTGAAGAAATGATAATAAATATAATGATGATATAACAAGTCTTTCAATGTGATGACAATGCCTCAATCATCAATCAGCTCAAAGATGATGAAATCTGTAGTATGGTTTTAAATCCAGAAATATTGCTACCAATAGTGAATAAAATGATACAGAGGTTTTTGAGGGGGAAAGAGATTTCAATTGACAGTTTAGCAGGAATTTTCAACATGGCAGTTACAGGACTTGAACAATGGACTTTTGTAACTGAACAAGAAATGATGTCTGTTTATTTTAACACGTTGAATGCCACACACATTTTACGTGGTTCGCCCATGGCAGCAACATGAATTTTTTATTATTCGATGCATACTATGTTGAAATATTATCTACAGAAGATAAGATGAGCTATGTAATCGTGTTTAATGCATTTTTCCTGGTGGGGGTCACCGCTCACCCCGGAGGGCTGCAGACCCTTTTTGTGATTTATTATTTTAATTTTTTTATCAAAACATTATAGTAACAATGGTTATTATTTAAAAATTTATCTGTATCAATATTTACCCTATTTATACATTTTTACTGTTGGTCGCATTGCCGGTCACCCCCACGGCGCTGTAGCCAAGTCGAGTGCCGGCCACTGGTGACCCACACGGCAGTCAACGTGTTAAAGAGAAAGCATTAGCACAAGAAACAAAGTAGCTTAAGAAACTTATAGTTGAAAATGTTTAATAAAACTAAAAAATAAATATTGAGGTTTCTTTTCTTTTTGCATATTTTGATTTCTTCAAGGTCATAGAATAACTATTTCCTATTTTTAATTTTATAATTTCTACATGTCATCTGATAAGATTTAAATGAATGATCTAAAATCTGGAAATTTTCAAAATCCGGAATTGCTGAAGTCTTAGTGTTTTCCAATCTTTGTACTTTATAGTATTTACATAATTAATCAAAATTTTCATTTCATGTAAAACTTTCTTATGTTTTCTTAATCCCATTTTAAATAAAAAAAAAGCATCTAAACTATGAAATATTTTAGTACAAAAGAGAAGTATTAAATTAAGAATTGGCATTCATATTTATATATACTTTCAAAAAGAAAATAAAAATAAAGTTCCTTTAAAATGCTTCAGCACAATGTAATTCTATTTTGTACAAAAGAAGGCTTTCCCCCTCCATCAGTTTTCTCCTTTCTTCTTTTGTTTTTTTATGCCTCTTTTATACTCTGAAGAAAATTATTTCATTTAACATTCATTATATCTGATAGCTCTTTATCAGCGATCAACAAAAATGACACTATTCCACAGGCAAAGGGGGGAGAGGAAGTTTTCTTGTAATCAAGGTTCAAAATGACAAACAACCAAACTTGATAGAGTTGCTTGAACAAAGGATATAAAGTAGAAGTGATGTCTTCTCTGTCTAAGAAAGAGTAATTGCGACACACTACATTTTATAGCAGGAAGTCGAAATAAAACCTTCAGCCACATCATATGCTAAAATGAAATTTAAACAAACCACTTTTCTCTTTAAATGGCAAAGAACATATCTTTTACCCTACCTAAGCAAAGAGTTTAGTTCTAGAGTGGTTCTGCAGTGAATTTTTAAGAGTTTAATATACTTGTAAAATATAAAATCTTAATACACAAGCATTAAAAAATTTTGAATTTTGTTATCTATTTAAAGGTATTTGAACCTTAAGCGAGCAGAGCTGCAACTACGGCTTTCAGCGCCCGGGAACAACAGAAGATCTCGTGCCCCTCTCCTGTTAGGCAAAAGTGAAAAACATTTCATTCTAAAAATTCTTAACATGACTTTGGCATCCACTGGCAGCTGCGACCAGAAACAAATATTACCCCTTGCCCCCCTCTAGCTACGGCCCTGAAAGCAAGTATAAATATACCTTCAAACATGCTTAAACTGTTAAGGCACTATATCTGAAGAAAAAATTGCAGGTAAAAAGAGCTGTGGGCATAATAATTTTCAAATTTGTATATTTTATATTTTGACCCTTAAACACACATTTAAAAAGCTTTGTCAGATGATTTTTAGATTTTCATGTAACTAGTAAAACCTTAAAAAAAAAAAAAACTTTACTACTAAAATAAAACAATTCCTTCTTGAATTATAAGCAATGCAAGCTGTGTCGCATGATTTTAAATTTAAATATGCAAGTACTGCCAATTTCAGCAATGAAATTTGATTAAAATTACCTATCCATACATTGCATATATTTTATTAATGATTTAAATATTTGAAATAAGTATCTTCAATAAATAATTCTGATCATGGTTCACCTCTTTGAATTTGTTCAAAAGATGGGATGAAATAATGAAGCATTTTTAAAAACTTATATATCTTTTTTTTTAAGGACCTTTATTCCCCGCTTTTATGGAAATAAACGTTATAAGCTGAACTTATTTCTATAAAACTACATAATGAAATACTGAAAAGCTAATGTTGAACCTTGGAAATGCCTACCAGCAAGGTAGGTGATCGGTTAACGAAAAGTTTGGACAGTGAACACTTTAGGAAAGATTTTTGTGTTCGGACAATGAACAATATTTGGATAACGAACAAAAACTAATTCTAACGAAAGCCTCTCGGCTCTCGGAACACCCGACACGAGTCCTCAATTCGTCCTGAAAATGGATGTGTGCGTGCGCTGACACATCATCATTCATACTATGTAGCAGTGAGGCAGCACCGTACAATGCGTACGGTAGTGTGCGACTACACTTTGTCAATTGTGTACCATAGTTCAGCCACATCAATCACGAGGACGTTTCTGTCCTCGTGATTTTCGTATGTGCTTCTCTAAACGCCTTATAAAAAAAACCTGAAAATTTGACAATATTATGGGACCTAAAAAGAGTGGAATGTCAAAAACTGTGCGTTCACCATAAAAACCAAGCAAGAGATTATAACTAAAGTAGAGAGTGGACGACTGATGTTGCTAGGCAGTACGGCTTGAACAGGTCTACAGTAGGCACAATCCTAGCTAAGAAAGATATCATCAAGAAGACTCAAGTCGCTAAAGGAGTAACGAAAATTACATCTGAGAAGCAAAAAAGTGCCATGAACGAGGAAAAAAAAAAAAAAAAAAAAAAAAAAAAAAAAAAAGAGAGAGTTTGCTTTTATTTTGGATAAATGAACGGGAGATGAAAAGAGATGTAACTAGTATGGCCATCTTTCAAGAGAAGGATTGAGAAATTGAAAGAACAAAAAATCCAGAATTCAAAGCTACCACTGGCTGGTTTGCAAAGTTTAAAAGGAGATCTGGCATTAAACATGTGGTCATGTATGGTGAGTCTGCTAGTGCAGATAAAGAAGAAGCTGAGAGGTTCTGTCTCAAATTTCAAGAATTCATTGAAAAAGAAGGGTATTGTCCACAACAAATATTTAATTGTGATGAAAGTGGTTTATTTTGGAAGTGCATGTCAAATTATACCTACATCACGAAAGATGAAAAAAGTGTTCCTGGGCATAAACTCATGAAAGACCGATTGACGTTACTTTTGGGAGCTAATGCTAGTGGTGATATGAAGCTTAAACCACGTCTTCTTTATTACTCTGAGAATCCTAGAGCATTAAAAAAAAAATCCATAATCAAGAGAAAACTGCCAGTGATGTGGAGATCAAATCAGAGGGCATGGGTCACGCAGAGAGAGAGTTTGGAGAGTGGCTATATGAAATTTGTGCCCCAAGCATCAAGGACTACCTTGATACCAATGACTTGCCATTGAAAGCATTGCTGCTATTGGTCAACACATCAGAGCAACCACAGGACTTTGAAGATAATTTGCTGATAGACTTTCCCTGACTGACAGTACAGTTTTTACCTCCAAATATGACTTCACTGATTTAGCCAATGGATCAAGAGGTTATTGCAGGTTTCAAGAAATTGTACACTCGTGCGCTGTTGGGCGATGTTTTGAAGCATGCCAATTTTCCTCAAAAATGACTTTAAAAACACTTTGGATAGAAAAATGTGACATTCTCGAAGCTATTTGTCTTATTGAAAAGGCGTGGTAAGAAATCACTCAACGATAGTTGGTTTCTGCCTGGCAAAAGCTGTGTCCATCCCTCATTGAAGGAGATGGAGGTGATCAGGGTGACACCCCTGAAATTATGGATGAAATTGTAACAACTGCGAGAGATCTGGAATTGGAGGTGAACGAGGATGACATTGAAGAGCTCATAATGGAACATGAAGGTGACTTGACGGCAGAAGAACTCCAAGAAATCTTGAATGAAGAACACCAAGAAACTCAGCAAAATGTGTTTCCTTCTGAAAAAGAGGAAGATGAAAGAGGAGCAATGACAACACCTGCCATTAAAGATCTTTTAAGAAGTGGGAGGATGTCAGAGCAACAGGCTTAAAATGGCACCCAAACCAAGCTGATGTCAATAGGGTTGCTGATCTCTACAACGACATTGCTATCAATCATTTCCTGAAAGTTCTGAAGGAGAGAGAGAAAAACAAGGACATGTTCTTTAACGCCCAAAGAAAGGAAAAGGATTGATTAATAAGTAAGACTATATGTATGTATTATATTTGTAATAAATAAACTTACTAAGAAATTATACTTCTACATGACATTTTTAAAAATTAATCGAATTCCCATTAACATATATGGTAAATCAGTGATCGGTTAACGAAAAAATTCAGATAGCGGACATAATCTTGGTGGTATGGTGTATTTAATTAAGGCAAAGCACACTAAGGCTATCTGCCTAAGGGGAGGGATGCCTTCGTGGAGGACTTTCTAAGGGAAACTGGCTCGTATACACGTTACACATGGGGAAAACCACGAAAACACCCATGCAGCCAGCCTGTTCGCGGGATTCGAACCTCGGACCGAACTACCAGTGTTCAGCGACTTTACCGCTCGGCCGCTGGTGGGCCCGACATAATCTTGGAACGGATTATGTTCGTTAACCAATCACCCACTGCGCTAAAAAACTTTATGTCCATAAAAAAGTGCCGATGATTGCAGTAAATGTTTTATATTTCAGACTCAGTCCAGTCATGTAATTCTAATTTAATTTTGGTTTTAATTATGAGTAAAGTCCAATTTTCTGGTACTCAAAAGTTCATCAAGAATATATCTACCATAAATACTACCAAAAGATGCAATAACCATATGCAGAAATAATTAGAAGCATTAATCCTTTGCTTTGGGACTTACATTATTTTAGTTGAATACTACACAACAAAACTCTCGTGAAGAAAACAAAAATATTGACAGTCTTATGATTAACCATTACAAAATGCTGAACTTAATCCACAGTATCCTTTCAAAAAATTCTCTTATCACACCTTCTGAAGATGAAATTTATTCAATTGCTTAAGAATACCAAGGGTAAGTCAATCATAGTTAGTGTCAAATGTGGAAAACGGCAAGGAAGAAGGATAGGTAACTGTTATTGCTTGGTATAATGCTGCCAAAACATTAAACATAGTCAGCAAATTTACAGAGTGCAATAACCACACATCAGTTGAGAAACAATGATCTTTGTGCAACAGCAATATAGTAGATTCCAAACTACAGACTGATTAAGAATAATAAATTATGCATATTCTGTAGTTTATCTTTTAGTACTTTTTGAGTCAAATGCAGTAACAGAGTTATTCTATGAGAGTTTTCTTTAATGTTTTGAATTTTGATAATAGGTTAAATTAGATTCACAAAGTTGTTTTTGCTTCAATGTCTGTTTATGTTTGATTATCCAGCTTAATGAAAATCATGAACTTGCCAGATTATCAATCTTTTACATAAAAAAGGGGAAAGGAGATATGTAGAAGGAGCAAAAGCTCAGTCCTACTATTATAAGAATGAGTAATGACTTTTTTTTTTTTTTTTTTAAACTCTATTAAGAAATGAACTTCAGTATATTTCTAGCTTATAGTTATTACAGGGACAGAAACTTACAGTAATATATGTAACCAAGTCAGGGAATTTGGGGTAAATGATATTAGGTTGATTATGTTGATAATTTGCTTATTGATTTGGCATTTAAAATATATTTCCAACATAGCAGATTCAGAAGGCTAGATAGCTAACAATTAATTCTACATAACACTTTTTTTTTTCTTTAAAAAAATGATGATCATATTTTGTTTCATACCTTGTTAAGAACTCTCAAATCTTCAAGAATTTCATTGTCATCCAAAAGAAAATTTAGCTGAGGTAATATAAGTTAAAGAAAAACCATAACAACTTAAATGCATTCTTAAACAAAACAGTATTTTTTAGATAATAATAATAATAATAATAAAGAATAAAAACATAACAGAGGTGGCCAAACTTCAGAACATTTATAGCTGCATATTAGATTCTGAAATTTCTACATTTCCAACGAGCTGCGAATAGATATTTAATATATCCCTTTAAAAGAAGTAGAACCTTTTTTTAAAAGAAAAGGAAAAAAATTCAAGAAAATTAATACATTTCATATTTTTAAAAATTAATGTGATTATTTCTCAAGGATAAATAAATAATTTTTGTTGTTTTTGTAATCTCATTAATATGACTACTTTAAATCCTAACTTGGAACCAATGACATATGTAATTTCTTTTCCTCATGATGATCAAGGATTCAGAATTAAGCAGCAGAACACACAGTAGCATCATAGACACAAAGGGTCTGTACGACAGCATATGGCCGAAAATTGTCAATCAACCTAAGATGAAACATTTCATATTGAAATGTTTTTATACATTTTCTTTTCAGATGAACATAGAACTTCTAAATTTTGCTTTGGCCACAATGTGCTAGTTACATATAAAATCTGTTTTCTATGCTTCAAAATATTATTCACTTAAAATATTTGAAAAAAATCAAAACCAAAATAAGTTATTTCCAAGATTTTTTTTGTTTTACTACATTTTTTTAATAATTAAATTGTAATTTTATTAATACACCATTAAAAAACCATATACTGAAACTGAGTTTCAGTATTTTTCTTTAACAAACATCAAAAGCTTTCAGTAAATAAATCTATTACGCAAATCAATAATTGTAATTATTGACACTCAGCTTCTGTAACATTATCAGCTTCAGAGAAGACCAAAATTGTCTCGAATCACAGGCGTTTCTATTAGAAATGGTTCACTCTACAACAATCTCTACATATAATAAAACAAAGAGTCTGTCTGTGTGTGTGTGTCTTTTGTTCGCGCTGCGCGTAAGCTAATAGACCACGGCTATGAAATTTGGTACACAGGTGCATCTAGACAAAAGCCAGTGCACCTCGAAGCGATTTTTTCGAAATTCGATTTTTTTTTATTTTATGTTTTGTGACGAAATCGCATCATTTTGAGATATAATAGGCTATAGGAAAGCGAGATTTTACTCTACGCACTCCATTTTCACATCGTCATGAAATGTAGGCATTTAGCTATTTTACAAACTTAAAATAAATTTTGTGTTTCAATAAATCGATTAAATACGAATTTATTTAATAAAGTGAGCTTAACACTTTTTTCAACGGGATTTTTTTCTAAAAAAAGTTTATTTTTAAAAATGTACAGTTTATTTTTCTTTGACTTTTGGTACACGTTAAACTTTCATCCTTGCGACTGCTTTTACAAAAATAATTTTGGAAAAATGATGATATTTTGTATTTTGAAAACATTTTTTAAAAATGAAGCTTCAGAGTACACTTCTCACATCTTTAAAAATGTGATTTTGGCAACAATTTTCCTTTCTTATTGTTGTTGATAGATTTTTGATGAAATCGCATCATTTTGAATAGTTTCATTCTTTTAGAAACATGGGTTTGGTAACAATTTTTCATTGTATTTCTTATGTCACTGCTTTTAAGAGATCGGCATATTTCATTGTCATTTTTTTATATATATAATACATTTTGATTGATTTTTTTTGAAGTTGTTCTGCAGAGTAAAATTCTGCGTGAAAATTTTTTGTTCTTTTGAGTTTCATGTTATTTTTTGCTTATTTCACTGTTTGTAAGATATTGAAAGGTTTTGCATGATTTTTTTTTCTTCAACGGAAAGTCGGTTAATTTTTTTATTAGGATAATTAATATTTGTATTAAGGGATATAGCTTATTTCAATGTAATTTTTTTCTCTTGAAAATATAAGATAAAATACCATTAATTATACTTTGCTTTTCAGAATTTTTTGTTTTTTGTATTCTTTTATGTTATTTATTGCTTCTTTCACTGTTTTTAAGATATTGAAAAGTTTTGAGTGATTTTTTTTTTTAGGAAACAAAGTTCTTAACCTCCTTTATACCATTTGAGTCCTTAAGATTTTGAAAAGGGAAGTTGGTTAATTTATTTATTAGGATAATTAATATTTGTATTAAGGGATATTGCTTATTTCATTGTAATTTTGTTATACGTAATAACTTTTTTTTTATGAAGTTGTTCTGCAAAGTAAAATTCTACGCAATTTTTAAATTTAACGTTTGGTGTTTCCTTCAGCCATTTTCCCGATACATTTAAAAGCCAGACGAAGGCTGGCAGCGAAGCTGCTAGTAAATTACAAAAGGATATTAGGAAGAGTTTTACGCCTTTTCTCAGGCATTGGTAAAGGATCATTAGGTCTCCGACGCAATTTTCTAGTAGTTACAGGTTTTACTTCCATTGAATCTGAAATAATGAATATATTTTTGTTATGCATACCATTCATATCCATAGAAACACACGCAGAAAATGTAAAAAGAGCTAGACATTGCTATCACAGTAATTTCTAATGTTACAAGGACAATATTAATTATTAAAACAAAACAATAGCTACATTTTTTACTTCAGTAAAAGTACACATCATCCCAAGACTAGTGTTAATTTTTTTCCACAATATTTATTATTATGGGTATTTTGTAATTTATTTAGTATTTGGATTGCTATTGATAAATTAAGTATAAAATGTTATACATATATGTTTATGTGTTTATTACACATATATGTTATTATAATTGGAATGTGAAATATTATGTCACACATCTTGGGGCAAAGACTTCTGCAGATTAGTGAGTTTCGTAGATTTTAGTTTATATAATGAGTTTTGTTTACATTTCCTCAATTCTAATAATTTACACAATATGGATTGTCTGCACACAAATAACTATCAAAAACACAATTGTAGCTTGAGTTATTTAATCAAGATTTATGGAACAAAAAACTATTATACTTTTTTTAAATATAACTACCATATACTTCTGGGTATAAGCTGAGAATTTTTAGCATATTTTTACTGCTCAAATTAGGGGGTAATTTTACATAAGAGTTCAAAGTAACTTATAAATTTTTCATTCAGAAAAATGAATTGAAAAAATACTAACTAATATATGTTGAATGAATTTTTAATTAATTCTTGAAGGTCATTCTTCAACCAAAATGTTCATAAATCAAAACGATTTTCCACAAAGAATTAATGTAGAATGGATTACATACAATTGTTTAAAATTTACAATACACACAATTCATAGCACAAAATTAATAGTAATAATTAAATTTAAGACAAAAGATAAACACAATATTAAACAGATAATATATGCTAAAACTTAATTCAATTCTTCTGTACCCATATGAAGGAGGGTAGAAGACATAAAGAAAAGAGAGAATTGTTATTGAGTTATTTGAGATGAGAAGTTCCCCCTCCATAAAAATATCAAGAAACTGTTATTCTGAAACATCCTCTTTTATTTCTTTGCATCACTTAACTTTACTGGAGATGAAAAGGACTTCTGTTCCATCCAGAATGTGAGTGACGTAATTTTTGTTGTATACAATTTAAAATGTTTTTAAAGTGTTTTCCTCTAATTTGCTTTTGTTTCATAAGGGTGAGGTTTTATAGAACAAAATTTCACACCAACATATTATTCTGCAGATCAATGAACTAGGCTCATCTCTTTCTTGCCTTTCTTCTGAAGTCATTTTCTCTTCAATCACTTTTTATTGCATTTCTGGAGGTGTTCCATTCTTTCTCGTTGAGCTCATTCTTACAGCCCTTCAGCAACTTCTCCAAGAGATCAAAATCTCTGCTTGCTAAACAATCTAGACATAATTTCTTTTAGAATTCACCATCCTGTATGCTACTAGCTGTTAATATGAATTAAGCAATGGAAAATATTAAAGCATTATTTTTAGATGTCCCTAAAATGTTAATTACTTGATTACTGCATGATGCTTAAGATTCATTAACAATATTAGGAACACCTTGAAATTATCTGTATGTTTGAATGTTGTTTAAAATTTTTGTATTTGTGCTGCAATGCTGAATTTTAAATTAATTACTTCCTTATTTCAAAATACAAAGTGTGTTTTCAAGCAATCTTTGATGCAGAATTAATATTTAGGGATTTCTAAATAATAATAAATTTCTAAACATCATTTTATTATCTTTCATTGCTGAACTCTCCCTATCAAAAAGCCTGCCTTACAGTATACCATGATTTAATACTGCACAGAATTATGGCCAGACTGTGCTGTAAGCAGACTTCGAGGTCTTCAACACACAGGGCTTTTTCTTGTTATCTATAATACTGTGCCTATAGGTAAAACCATGGGTTTTGAAGTTAACAATAAAGACATCAGGGAGTTGTTGGAAGACCATAAAAATAAGATCAAGAAGAAAGAATAGGAACATCTCTAGAAGAGCAACAAAAAGGGATCGAGGAGGGAGTGACTTCACAGGAACAGAAGATGAACCTAATTCTTTGATTTAGAAAGTTAGTGCAATGTCTCAGGTAATGATATTGCCTAGATAAATCAGCAGCAAACTACAGCATAAAGATTTTCAATGACAATGCCACAGCTCACATGAGAAATATTTTTAAAATGCAGAAACAACAAATCACATAAGGCAAATTTTGAGAGAAATGGAAGACCACTGAGTCTCAAGCAGAGGTGAATGATGCTAAGAGACAAAGATAAGAAGATGCTCCCAAAAGAGGATTACTTGTTACTTTTATGGAAAGAAAGTCTTTATTCAAACAGTAACATTTCTTCCCTTTCCACTTACACCATTCACTTACATTTTTGTATAAGTATTAAAGTTTTGTTATTTTATCCATTTAATACAATAATGTTTATCTTTTCTAGTGCGTGTGTCTTATAATTAATGATTTCTATGAATTTTTTATTATAAACTTGTGCATAAAGTACTATTTCAAAATTTAGATAAGCAATCCTACATTGTTCAAGAATGTATAACTCCTTCCAGATGAACATTCCGTCTATGCGTTCCCTACGAAAGTCTCTCAAACTGGGCATCCCACCCATGCATCACTGGAGAATGAGCGTAAGGGACCGGTGATGCATATATAAGACCACTAGATGGCATTCTGTATCCATTACATTAGTTTTGAAAGTAACATAATTTTAGGATCCTGACCTTTAGTTTGATTACATTTTGTGTAAAGTTGACGTCAACTGTTGCAGGAAAGGAAGAAAAGCATAATGTAAACAAAGAGGGCTTGGCTCTTTAACTCGCATGTGATATAAACATTTGCGTTTCTTACATCCCTTCAAATCTTTTTTTTTTTTTTTTTTTTTTTTTTTTTTTTGTGCTACTGTTTTAGGGTTACTATGTAAGGTTCTGTTACACCTTACATTGTTTTTATCTCTTATATTTTGGATGAAATTTTTATTTTGGAAGGCTGCGACTTCAGTTTATTATGAAGAGCATGCATTATTTATCAGAAAAAGGATGGTAAATGAGCCAATTAATGACATGGATGAGAGTGATGTTCCATTTTCTAAAGAGCCCGACAGTGATATTTCTAGTGATTCTGATACAAACATTTTATCAGAGCTCACTGATAGCCTGTCTTCCACTTCCCATGAAACATTTTATTACTTCTTCTTGTAAAAAGTTTGTCTTGTATTTTTTTGTTAATTCTAAAGTTTATTAATGTATTTTGTCAATTAAAACTTTGGAATAATTTGAAGAGCACTTCTGAAAATTATCTCGCAAAGTAAGCAATTTTTTTTCCCTAATATATTTTCATGTAAAATAAAGGAAAATTATTATTAAATGCTAATTTTAATATATATGACAGCTTAAGTAATAATCCAAAAGAATATTCAAATTATGATGTCAGGACCTATTCCCTCCCCCTAAAGTTAGGCTTAGATAGGCAAAGTCCCCATTCCTATGGGACAATTCCTCCTGACTCCCATCCAACCTGAGGAACGCTTTAAACAAAGCCCGCCATCTCAAAAGGATTAATTCAGTTTACATTAATTCCTATGGAAAAATATTTCTGGTTTATAAACAGAATTTGGGAACAAATTAAATTTATGAGCAAAAATTTCTCTGTATTTCAATGACTACCATTTTTTCACTTCTTTGTTTTTATGAATAAATTCTTATAATTTATATTGAACATAACTGTAATATAGCCCTTAACATAAACTGCAAAAATATGTTAAAAATTCTAAAATTATATATAATAATTTTCTTTTACATAATACTTTTGTTTTCAATAAAACTTCATTAAATAATTATTACGATATGAATGTGTTTTAGTTACTTGTGTGCAAACAGTTCAGATTTAATTAACAAAAATTAGAACGAGAGAAATATAAACAAAACCGAGAAAGATGTAAACTATAATCTACAAAATTTATTGATCCACATAATTTTTTTTTTCCCCAAGGTGTTTAGCAGTGAATTACATTCATTAGCCACCACATCAGGAAATCACAAGTTCAAATTGATATTTCTGATATTTTTCACATAAATTATCAAAATGCTTGCTTATATCAGACAAAAAATTTAATTCACAATTCCAGTGGATATTTTCTTGACTGTTATACTATGCAGCGGATAAGCAGACAAAAAACGAAGATGAAAAATTGCACTCGCTTATCAATGTCAGGTATAAGCTAACATTTTTAAACACAAATTCTTGGAAGTAGAAATATTCAGTATCAGTTCAATGTGATATTCTCTTACTTTTTATCTCAAGTCAATCAAAATTTGCGTGAGCAAAATTCAAAACAAAAATATAGTATACTGCTAAACTATAACATAATAAACCCTACTGTTATAAAAGAAAATAGACTTCAGCTGTGCTAGTCATGGTGCTGAAAAACTTATAGATGCAGAAGTTACAAATAAATACAATAAATCTTCAGTGAATCAATAGACAAAATACATATTATATATCAATTTCAGAATGAAAGAATTAAATTAAAAAAAATTAAAAACATGAAGGTTTAACATCTTGTAGTCTTTTTTCGCATAGCCTAATATAAATATGCCTAGAGTTACACTGCCTGGCGAAAATATACTAATGGCTGAATACATTTATTAAAACCAAAATATAACCATTATTTACATAATATCAGATAAAATTATGGTTATTCTTTAATTCAAAAAATATTTATTGCAGGAAAAGATATGAACTAAATGTTTTCAAAATGAGTATTAAATTCATATTTTGAATATTAATTCAGCTTAGTCTGATAGCTACAGTAGCAATAGTGAGGAGAATATTTAAATGGCTGGTCTGAAATTTTTATTCTCATTTTACATTTTGAATGTTTTATACAAGAGAAAAGTTAATCATAAAAATCATAAATCATGCTTTTAGAAACAAAGGTGTCACATCAACTGAAAATGTGTATGAAGCACTGGAAAT